GCGGAGCCCCCTCCGCCGCCGCCGCCGCCGTCGGGCAAGCGGGTGGTGCAGAAAGAGGCCGACTTCGACAAGCCCTACTCGGACGCCGTCAACCGCGAGCTGCTCAACATCTACGCCTTCAACCACACGGTCACGCGCAACCGGGTGAGCCCCTGGGCATGGGCAGAGCGCCGGGACGCCCCTTCCCCCCGAGGGAGGGCTGACCTGCAGGAGCCCCGCGCAGCCCAGGCGGGGGGGGCGCCCAGGGGGGCGCCGTCGCCCCCTCTCTCCTGCCCGCCACCCCTCCCCAAGGGGCCCGGGCGCAGGGCGGCAGAGGCTAAAAAAAAGAAGCCGCCAGCGAAGCCCTGCTGGCCGAAGGTTGGGCGGGCACGAAGGCTGCCCTGGGTGCTGCCCGGAAGAGGAGCCACGTCCTCCCTGCCTGCCTCCCTCGGTGGGGACAGAGAGCCCGCAAGGCGCCTGGGGGATGGCAGTGTGTGTGTGTGGGGGGCGCTTCCCTTCGGTGCCACCTTCAAATTTCTAGATCCCAAGGGAACAGACTCCCCCCCCACACACACACACACCCCTCCCACGCAGCCCAGGGGCTAAACCTCACCCTCCTTTTCCGGCCGGGTCAAAGGTTAGCTGCACCCCAAACCTCCTGGCACCCTGTCAGCCTTTTTCTGGGCGACTCTTCAGCCGCCCAGCCCCGTGTTTTGCCAGGATGGGAGGCTCAGGAAGAGGAGGAGGCCTCGGGACAGGTGGTGCCATTGCCCTCTCCGTGGGCGCCTTCTGGCGCACCACTTAGCAGCCAGGGAGAGAGAGAGCGCGTGCCAGGGTGGATGCCCGCCTGTCCGCCCGCCCACCTGCGTCTGGAGAAAAGGCCTCCTCTCTGCCCTCTTCCATCGGCCCGCTGCTTCCTTTGGCCTGAAAACCTGCCCCCCCCCTGCCTGGGCTGCTCCTGCCACCTGTTGCAGGTGCCCAGAAGGGCCAGGTGATGATCTCAGCCGTCCACGTCACCCGCCCTGGACAAAGTTCCCTTTTGGGAGACTGGACTGTGAGATACAGGTTTGCAGTCCAGGAAAGAGCCTGGTTTGGATATCATTCGGCCCGCTGCTTCCTTTGGCCTGAAAACCTGCCCCCCCCCTGCCTGGGCTGCTCCTGCCACCTGTTGCAGGTGCCCAGAAGGGCCAGGTGATGATCTCAGCCGTCCACGTCACCCGCCCTGGACAAAGTTCCCTTTTGGGAGACTGGACTGTGAGATACAGGTTTGCAGTCCAGGAAAGAGCCTGGTTTGGATATCATTTCATTNTGGCAGTGCAGCACCTAAGCCAGGAGGGGCCGGACACCCGCCCAGGTGGGTTTACTTCCTCGGTGGTCCCCTTATCTCCAGGCCAAAGGCTGCTCGGTCCTATTGTTGTTTCCTTTGCTACTTACTTCTTATCTTTGTTTTGATAACGGCTGTGGTGCTGAAGTGGGATTACTCTGGCCAGTCCCAGAGTAAGCACCCCTTGCTCTGACCCGCCCGGCCTCTCGGTTGCCAGAACCTCTCCCAGAGGCCTCCTTTTCCTTTTGCTCTCTTGGAGCTTCTCGGGGGGGGAGTGCTAGTTTTGTTTACATGTTTATTAACCCAAAGACGTAACATGCATGCACCTGTGGCACACCTACATGTCTGTGAGCAGATACCAACACATCTCCTAAATGAAATTTGAACTGTTACAATTTACTCTATCTCCTTTGAAGTCCAATGCCTTATTCCGATGCATATGAGTGCCACGGTCAAACTGGCGCCCCGATCTGCGGCGATGCCATGGCTCCCCCTGGCTCACCGTCTGGCCTGGCAAGGGCCGGACTGACGCCCAGCTCCCCTCCCTTCTCACTGCCCCACAGACGGAGGGGGTCCGAGTGTCGGTCAACGTCCTCTCGGAGCAGAAGGAGACACCGGTGCTGTTTGTGGTGAGGCAGAAGGAGGCCGTGGTGTCTTTCCAAGTGCCCTTAATCCTCAGAGGCCTGTGAGTAACGCAGCCCCCCCCCTTTGGGACACACCTCTTGGGCCTCTTTGGGGCCTCTCTTTCCTTGGCTTGGCGTCTTGCGGGTGGGTGGGCCCTTTCGAAGCCACCCTCTGCACCCCACTCCCCCGAGGCCTCCGCCTGGCCCCCCCCTTCACTGCATTGGGGCACGTCTGGCCTTAGGGGCAGGCCTAGGCTTTCCGTGGCCTGTCCCTTGAGCCCTTCGTCCGTCCGTCCCCCCCCCCGCGGCCCTACAGGTACCAGAGGAAGTACAGTTACCAAGATGTCAGCCGCACCCTTTGCCAGCCCCTGACCAAGAGGGAGGTGGAGACCCAGCTCTTCTACGTGGACGTCTCCACCCTGTCAGAGGGGAATGCTTCTTACCGGCTGCAGGTGTCGCGGGTGGAGAACTTTGTGCTCAGGTGAGGGGGGGGGCGATCAGAGCAGCAGCAGGGCCAGGGCCAGGGGGGCTCCCCTTCCGCTGGAAACCCAGGTCGGTACCAGAGACGCAGCCCCCTCCGCTGGGCCCATGGCAGGGGAATGGGGAGCAGGAGAGGAGGGCCAGGGGGCGGGAGCAGCAGGAGATATGGGGTGCAGTGGAGATATGGAAACAGCCCCCGAGCCCAGACCTCCGGAGGACACAGATGGGGGTCGGAGGGTTGTGGAGTGGTCCTGAGTGGTTTCCTTTGAGCATGTGCAGAGTGTCCTTCCCTAAGCATATGTTGACCCACCCTCTCGCTGGCCATGGCGCGGGGGGACCGAGGGGTCCAGCTTGGCTTCCAGGCAGCGCTGGCTCCTCTCCGGCGGGTTCCGTCAGCCCTCGTTGCGATCTTTCCCCCTCGCAGGACTGGCGAGCACTTCAGCTTCAATGCCACTGCGGCCCAGCCACAGGTGAGTCCCCCGCGGGCACCTTCTTGGGGGACAGGTGATGGTGGGTGGGGGGCTTGGATGCAGATGGCAAGAGGGAGATCTCCATGACAGGAGGGGTCCCTCTTTCTGAAACCGTGAGGCCAGAATTTGGCACCTGGGGGCCAAAATGGCACCTGTGGATGCTGGCAGGTGGGATGTGCTGGGATGGGTAGGGCTGTCCTGGCCTGCGAACCCCCCAGGCTGCCTTTGGCCACCTATAGCTGCCCCCACCTGGCAGTGGCTTCCCTGTGACCGTGGACCTGCAATCCGCCGTGGCCGGAAGAGGGTTCCACGGTAGAAGCCCACGGTCCCCTCGGGAGCTGCCGAGTCCAAGCCTTGGTGGGCACCTTCACCTCCGGGGCCCCTGGAGGAAGAGGTGGAGGGGCGGCTGCAGGGCGGGGGCAGGGGGGGCTCTTCCAGGGGCAGGAGCAGACACGGCAGAGGGGGTGGCGGCGGCGGCGGTGGCAGCTCCCTCTTGCCAAATGTATGTCTCCCTTCTCTCCATGGCAGTATTTCAAGTACGAGTTCCCAGAGGACATGGACTCAGCCATCGTGAAGGTGACGTCCACCACAGCCTTTCCTTGCTCGGTCATATCCATCCAGGACATCCTGGTAGGTGGTGCGGGAAAGGGGCCCACCTGGCAGGTGGGCGACGGGGGCCTCTTCCCTCAGAGCCTGACCGTGGGCCTTCTTTCTCCCCCTTTCTGCCCAGTGCCCCGTCTACGACCTGGACAACAACGTGGCTTTCATCGGCATGTACCAAACCATGACGAAGAAGGCAGCTATCACCGTTCAGGTACGGCCGTGCCAGCTGGGAGCTCAGCCAAGGCCATCGGAGCCGGGCCGACATGGCCAGCTTGGCCTCCTCCTTGTCTTCAGTGTCAGGTGGCATCAATTAGTAGATGCTAATCGCAAGGATCGCTGCAGGGCGCAAGGAGGCTGGCCCTGCCCTCGCTGCCCAAGGAGCGCCTGCTTCCTAAGGAGAAGCAAAGGGCCTCGGCTTGGCACCCCAAAGCCCCCGGAGGCCAGCAGCCCCACTGCC